TGAAACATTTTCCAAAATTGGCCACATTTTAGCCCAAAAAAGACAGCTTCATTAAATATAGGAAACCAAAATTCTTTATGTATTTTTTCAGATTACAGTAGACTTAGAAAACAACAGCAAAAGAAACTGTAGAACTTGCATACATAACAGGAGGTCGAAAAATATGCTTGAACTCCAGAGGTTCACTGAATAACTCAAGGGAGAAATTTTAACAATTTCTTCATAAAGTTATATTGAAAGGAAGATATTTCAGATACATTTTGGCATAATGAAGCTACTTGTATAGCTGAAGTTTATAGCAATTAGTGTCTATATGAGAAAAACAGTTATCTCAAATAAGTATCACAATGACATACCTAAATATCCTAATAATAGAAAAAGAACCCAACCTGTAAATCAGCACAACAATGAAATAAGTTCATGAAATTCTTGAAAAAGTGAGATTAAAAACAAAGATGGCATCTTTTGTATAACTTTAGAGTTTATTTTAGAGTAGGCAAACAATATTGAAAATCATCAAACTTAATAAAAATGAGAGAAGTCCCATAATATATAAGATTTGAAATAAAAAGTGTAATTATAAGAGACACAACTGAAATCTGGAGAATTATTTGAAAGTATTTGAGAAATTGTACTAGAGTTAATCAGAAAATCTAGAGGAAAAAAATGGTTCAATTTGTAAATATATATAACCTACAAAATTTGCAGCAAAAAGGTGAGAGAGGATCTAAAGGAACCAAAAACAAAAACTGATATTGATGCAGTAAGAAAAATGCTATTAAGAAACCCTGATTGAATTAATGATTTTTTTTACCAGATCTCTAGAGAATTTATCTTAATGTTTTTACAGATAAATGAGGTCATAAAAGAGAACAAAGTCTTCTAAGTTAATTGTATAGATATAATATTGCTCTAATATCAAACCAAGCAAGCAAGCAAGAAAGGAAAAGTCACATAGACTTTGTCCTATGGATGCAAGGAAAGATTCACATACTAAATCAACAAATTATGAAACAATACATAAAGAGAATGAATGAGAAAGTAATCACATCATGTCTATAAATTCAGAAAGCTTGTAACAAAATTCAGCATCTCTCTATTATAGCAATGCTGACTAAAAATAACCAATGAGCGAGAAGTGGTATTGCAAGCCTCCTAGCATTTGCGAGGCTGAGGCAGGAGGATCATTTTCAGATTGAGACCAGCATGAGTTGCAAAGTGAGCTGAGGCCACCCTGAGTTGTATAGCGAGGCCTTGTCTCAAAAAGACAGAAAGGAAGGAAGGAAGGAAGGAAGGAAGGAAGGAAGGAAGGAAGGAAGGAAGGAAGGACTAAAGAAAGAAAGAAAAGACAGACAACCAGCTGGCCAGCTAGCTAGTCAGCAAGCAAGCAAGCAAACAAACAAGATATTGAAGGATATTACCTCAAGCTGATACAATCAATATGTAAAAAACTCAAAAGCAATGAAACATTAAATGGAGAAAAGTGAAAGCATTTTTCATTTAGGAAAAATCCAAAATGTTAACACTCTCCACTAGTGATCAATGCAATATATTATTTAAAAGTTAAGTCAGAGGGGCCAGCGAGAGCTCAGTAGATTATGCACTTGCACAGGCAAGCTCAGAGACCAGGGTTCGATCCTGGCCACCACAGGCCTCACTGACCTGTTCCCAGGCATGCATGGGGCCAGTAACAGAGACCAGGTGTGGTGGTACATGCCTGTAATCCTAGCGCTGGGGAGGTCAAAGCAGGAGGATCATGAGTCTGAGCTGTATAGTTACATCCTGCAACAACCAAATAAATGAAAATAAATAAATAAATAAGCCAATGCAATCTGCTAGTTATAAAAAAGAATTCAGCTATCTCTATGAGGTAATATGACTTATTTCACAGAAGACAGAAAAAACTCCAATTAATTATTTTTATATTTGGTGAGCAATTCAGGAAAATGGCAGGAAAGAAATTCAACACACAGGGGCCAGGGAGGTGGTTCAGTAGAATAATCGCTTCCCTTGCAAGCACAAGGACCTGTGTTCAATTCCCAGTTCCCTCTACAAAAAAAGAAAGAAAATTCAACACACACACACACACACACACACTCACACAAAATAGCATTCCTATATAGCAAGAACAAAAGTACTAATTGAAATTAATTCCATTTGAAAATCATCAAAAAATTAAGTGCATTAAGAATGAATTTAATGGAAGAAAATTACTTGACAATTGAAATCAAAGAACAGTGATAAAAGAAATTGAAGATAATATGGAAAAATTGAAACACATCCTTTGTTCCTCAATTTAAAATAACACTGAAGGGGGCCTGGGAGATAACTCAGTAGAATAAGCACTTACCTGTTAAGTGCAGGGTCCTGATTTCAATCCCTGGTGCTGCAAAAAGGAAAATAAATAGCTAAATAAATAAAATAAAACAACACTGAAGGGCTAGTCAAATAGCTCAGTGGATTAAAGCACCTCTGAGCAGGCACAAGGCAGGGGGAGCAATCCCCTGACCTGCCATGCCAGACCAGCTACTGGGGCGTGCTGAGAGGGCAATTGAGACTGGGCATGGTGGTGTGCACCTGTAATCTCAGCTCTTGGAAAATTGTAAACTGGCAGATCACTATGAGTCCTACCTAGCAGTGAGACCCTGAGCACCCTGTAGATCCTTAAAAACAAACAAACAAACAAAAAAAAAACCCCTAACAATATTCCTTGAATAATTACAAAAAAACACTAAAATTCGTATGAAATCAAAAAAGACAAAGAAAAGGCACAATAATACTGAGTAGAAATAGTAATGCTGGAGGCACCACAAAAGCAGATGGTATGATTTACTACAAATACTGAAGGATGAATAACGTGGAATTAGTAAAATGACAAGAAGTAGAATAAGGTCAGAAGAGAAGACATAGAAAGGAACACATGCACCTACCAACCTCTGACTTGGGACACATGGACAAAAAACGTGTTGAACAGATATTCTCTGACATACACAGCTGGAAAACACATTTATCCATGCAGAAATTTGAAATTAGTTCCCTATTTTTGTCATGAAGTAAAACAGATGAAAATGGGTAAAGAATCTCTATATAAAATCGGAAACTTAACATTGATGGAAGATAAAAGAGGAAAACATGTGAAATAATGGACAGGAAAATTCTTTCTCAATAGGACTCCAGTAGCACATGAAATAATTTCAAGTATCAATAATCAGGGCTATACCAAAGTTGAAAATGTCTGCATAACCAAAGAGGTAACATAGTGAAGACAGTATGTAGGTTGATAGAAAATCTTTGCTAGCTAGCCTTCTGTTAGAGAGTACTTGCTAGGAAATAGGAAGAAGTCAAAGCAATTTATGGTAGAAAACATCCCCCACGAGTCAAATGAACTGAATAAACACTTCTCAAAAGAAGATCTACAAATGGAAAAATGCTGAAAATCTTTAGCTCTAAGAAATATAAATATCACACTGTTTACAGATTCCATATGATCCCAATAAAATGGATCTTTATGAATGAAAAAAGAAACTCAGAATTCTGGCTTCAATATGAGGTAGAAGGAGCCCTCCTAGGATGTTGGTGACAATGTAAATTAGTGAAACTCTTAAAGAAACTTTTATGAGGATCTGCCAAAAATTGAATAAAGCTAAAATGTCTCACTCAACTGTACTTGTTTTGCTTATATATCAGAAAGAACTAAAAACAGAGTATTGTAGTGATATATGAATATCCAGAATTATATTTCTAATCTGGGGAATACTATTACTATGAAGAGATAAAAGATTCAAAATGTCATACATATAAACAATGGAATAGTCAGTCACAGAGAAGAGTGAAATCATGTCACTTGCATGAAAATGGATGGAACTAGAGACTTGCACATAAGCTGAAATAAACCAGACTCAGAAAGTTAATATTGAATATTTTTATAAGATAGAGGGACAAAGAAATAGATGATGGGAGAGAGAGAGAGAGAGAGAGAGAGAGAGAGAGAGAGAGAGAGAGAGGACTGATAGGAAGGTAATGAGAGATAATGGAAAATATGGACATGCTGCTGCTTTGAAGAAAAAAATACGAAAGGAAGATGTCCTTGGATAGAAAATGAACAAGATGTGAGGAACACATGTTCTAATTTCTCAAAGTGAACCTCTCCATTAAGAATTAGTAATATATTTAATAATGCTCTCACTATATTATATCCTATTACATTTTTTGTTTCTCAATAGTGCTCTATCCAACATTTCAGACATATTCAGACTTTAATGACTTCATGTTATTTCTAATATGTGTTTATACTGAGGTCATCTGCTACCAAAAGTATTTCTAGAGATCACCTAAAAACTTCATAGGCTCATAGAAGTAAATAGATGAAAATCTACCTTATCACCCTTAACTACAAGGTTACTTTCTACTGTTCCTAAGACTGTAAAGTTCAGCACTGTGCACAAAATGTCCTAAAACTAGAATCTCTGAGCACTCACTGTTGGATTCAGTGCTTTCTGTCAGTACTATTTTCCTCTTACTTTTCAACATCTCCACAATTCAGTAAAAACTCTCATGAAAGAACTTTCTCCATTAAACTCTGGTAATTATTCTGGTTTTTGACTCCTTAAGCTTGTAAGGATTGTAGGAGTCTCCATAGTGAACTCCATGACTGGTTTCCCATCTCTCCACTCCAACACTCACACTATAGACACAGAGCATGTTAGTAAACCACTTGAATAATTTTCTCCTTCATCCCAGATAGAAAAAGCCAGCATCACTGGACCAACATGAGGAGGGAAATAAATCTAGAATGTCGTGTTAAAGGCATGAAACAAAACCTCTCTCTTAATGAATATGCAAATTTCAAAGAAAAACCAAGTATTCTTTTTTTTGTCAGAACCAGGGATTGAACTCAGGCCTTTTTGCTTGCCAGGGAAATGCTTATTCCACTGAGCCATCTCCCCAGCCCTAGACCAAGTATTCTAAAGTACATAAAACAGTCCTCAGCACAGACTCACTGCAGGTAGAGGTTTCGCAGGTTTGCAGTGCAGTCCTCCAACAAATTCAAAATTAGGCAAGTATGGTCGAGGAAATTCAAAATCCCAGTATGTCCGAATTAGCCAAATCTCAGCTTTACCCATGGTCTCACACAACGTAGTGGGTCTTCCTGAAGAAAGCAAAATTCATGTATAGTAAATTAGTGCATTTAGTTACCGAAAAGAAAAACAAAAACTTATCAATAGTTTCCTTACAAGTCATTACAGACAAGAATTAGGTCTTGTAGTATTATTATATGATATGATATTGGAAAACGGGGAAGGAAGAAAAGTGGGAGAGGAAGAGGCTGTGACACAGAGGGAGAAGGCTGGGGTTATGGGTTGTAAAAGAAAAGAAACGTGGAAGTATCATTTAATAACAATAAAAGATCTAAATATTAAGTGTGCCTACAGCTACTGGTAAGTTTAGCAGTATGTCTTCCTCTCTAGTTAAATGGAAGAAAACAGAAGAGCTCCATCACACAAGCCTCCAGTCATCTCACAATGGCTTTCCAGTTTTTTGTTCAAGACTATGCGCTTTGTAGGTTATGTCATTGGTAATCACACATGTCACTGAAAGATCCACCAAAAACAGTCCATCGTTTTTTCTGAATCACATCTCATTTCCTGGATGTGAGGGAGATCTGGCTGCAACATCTGTCACCCAATTGATCGCCAGGGTTGATTCGGCTGATCTGGCTGGCTAGGCGAGTGTCCCCTTCCTCCCTCAACGATCCATGTGCGTCCCTCCCGAAGCTGCGCGCTCGGTCGAACAGGACGAACACCCCTGATAGAGGAGGAATGTTCCTTGGTCAGGGGTATACGAGTAGCTGCGCTCCCCGGCTAGAAGCTCCAAACAAGCTCTCAAATCTCATCTCCTAAACTGATCTGACATTCTTACTTCAGTTAAAATAAAAATTCTCTCACTATCTCAGATTCAGCGTGAACTTCTCATGAACGTGATATGTATACACAGATATCACCAGTACTACACACTACTGTTATTGATATGTGTTGTTTGTGAAAGGGACTTTTCTAGGTATTAGCCTCAAAGTTTTGTAAAGAAAAATGTGTGTTTACAAATAATAAAAGGAATAATTTCTGTACATTAAAAACATGTTCTCAAATGGAAAAAGTAAAAATTGAAAGAAGAATTTTATATTATTTATGTTCTACTTAGGAATAGTAATTATCATATATGTCTAAAGCAGGTGACATGTTTTGTTATAATCATTTAATAATTCTTGAATATATACACAAATTTTTGTAGTCTAATGCTTTTAGGTTGGTAATGAAAAAGCACTGCCCAAGAATATGGAGCTTGGAATTACCAAACATTGGATGAGAATTGCAGCTTATATTTCTGCAACAAATTGTTTATGCTTTATTTCAAGTGCAACACAACCTGCCCAGATTGTTTATGCCATATATGCACTTTATGTGCATAAGCTTTAGACAACATTTTAACAATATCCATCCTTAAATTATTCATTAAAATTTCATGTTTAAAGCACTGGCTCACAGTTGCAAACAAGAAGTCAATAAAACTTAAGAAAAGGCATAAGTCCTAAATAAAAAACATAGATTAAAAAATCTAAAGAAAAGATATAAAAATTTTGGCAAATGAATTTAAATGACATTTGAAAGAGTATTCATAGACATTAAAAAGAGGCTAAGTTAAACTAAACCAGTGTTTAATTTAAACCATTTGTATTATATAGTCACCAACATGCATAATTGCATTTTTTTATTTTATAGATTTATACTTATATCAATGTTTGCATAATTACATATAATCAATAATTGATTCTTTCAATCACACACTTATTAATTGAATTTCTTATAATTACATTGTTCAGACTGATAATTTTAGAATGTGTACTCATATATAAATATAATTATATTTTATAATTGTAGTTTAGAGAAAACATACATTTTTATATTTATGAATAAATTTGAGTTGTTAAATATTTATTGTTGGAATCTGTTACTTTAAGGCTAGATGACTAATCTAATGAGATATTTTTTAATTTAAAGACATGGTGGTAACGAATTTACAGAAATGTTTTACTGTTAATGATTCATAAAGTAGAGTAATATTTAATGGTTGATGGCTATTAATCTTGAAGTATAGGTCATGCTAGCTAGGGTGATACTGATAAACAGATACCTAGTCAAACCTAAGGATTAAGTTCTTTTAAATATCAGGTGAGAATGTTAATATGTAAATTCTCTAATTTAAAAAGACAGATATATATTCTTCATATCACCTTGACCTTCTGTAGACCCAATACAAATAAATATCCAAATTAATGAGCAAAAATGACCCCTAAGAAGCACTAGGGCAATAAGACAGCAGTAGGTGCATTGACACCTGAAGGACCAGTAAGCAGCATTGACTTCACAATACTTCAGAGGAATGACAAATGTGCATGTATTGTGCAGTGTCGTCTTGCTCATTATTTATTGCAGCTTATGCTGTAGTGTCAATTTCATGTGAGGCAGATGTAACAGTAGTTCAAACCAACAACAATGGATGATTTTAATAAATTTGGTAAATTCTTCAAACAGTTGAGCATAAAATGGGTCAAATATGCTATCAGATCATGTATGTACTGTGAGACACACAGTTGAATAAACAATGAACCCGAATGTTTCTCACGGTAGTTACTGCAAAATCTGAGTTTCATTAAATGAAATAATAAATACTTCCAGAACGTGTCTGGCATCACTTGGAAAATTTTAAATACAACTCAATTTGAAATATCTAATTGGTAACATAAAGTACACATGAATTTATAAGAAGGTGGAATACAGGAGACAAAACATAGAAGTACAACATTTGTGATTGTCAGGATGAGAATAGTAAGTGAAGCATTTCATTTTCTAAGATATACAAAGACTGAATAAACATTGAGCCCATGAAAAATCCTGATTATTGTGATGCATGTCTATAATCTCAGCCCTCTGAAGGCTGAGGCATGAGGAGTGTCATAATTTCTAGGGTAGCCTGGGCAAAATATAAGTTCAAGGCCAGCATAACTACATAGAGACACCCTTTCTCAAAAAAAAAAAAATCCTAAAAGATGAAAAAAAAAAGAGTAGTTCACTTATAACTAACGGGCACCTATGCTGGTTACAGTAGTGACTTAATATATTCTGAAGTGATAATTTTAAATATTTACCTGCCTTGCCAGAAGTAAAACAAGAAAAAGAAAATAGGTGATACAGTTTCGAAAAGTCCATATTTAACATAGAAACAAAAATTTAAAATAAATGTTACTAAAAATATTATAACCCAAAGTGTGACTAATTACCTGAGTAGAATAATTTTGTAGACAATATAATATCAAAACAAATTTCTATAAGAATAAAATCATTAAATTTTTAAAGAGATTACAAAATAGTATTAAAGCACAAAAAGTACAAATGATACAGATTCACTAAACAAAATATGAATTTCACAATATTTGTTTTAATATATAGAATTGTCTTCAAATTCCTTGTTAATATTTCTAGACATATACATTCAAAATTGGAAGAAAGAAAATAAGAAAGAAATGTACAATAAATTCAAAAGAGAAGGAGAAAGACTGAAAAAAAGAGGCAAAACAAACAGCATTAACTGCTCTTTTCATAGACTCTTTTCACAGCTGTTCAAACCAACCTGCTTATACACATAGATACCTCTTCCCCCCCACCTGCCTCTTGTGTCCTTCTCAAATCAGTAATTCCTTCATTCAGAACAAATTCATTTGATTTTCCCAGTATCTAATGTACCCTTCAGATTTTATTTTCTCTTTCAGGTTCTCACACTTATACTACCATATTAACAAGAAAAAGAGACAAAACTGCTATTTTAAGCAATACCTATATTTAGTATTTGTGGATCATATTGACTGGTAAGAGTAATTTACTAATAGGAGATGGCTCTCTAACACTACTAAAGAGCTAATAAAATTAAAAATTAAAAATCAGACCTTTCAACTTGAAATGTTGAAAAAAATCTTAACAGCATGGACAAGTCGAATTAAACACAGGTCAATTCAAATGTATTTTAAGCTACCAAAGTTAAATAAGAAAAATCTTATCCAAACAAAGAAGAGCTAAGAGACTTAGTTTATCTGTTTATCTAATTAACTTTCTATCTAATGATGCTTTAATATGAGGCAAATCCAGAAGAATGGACAGGTCCAGTTTTAACTGAGAGGAAAATTATAATTGGAAACTAGTAATCAGTGATTATCTGAAATATGTACAAGTGCAGATATGATACTATTGTAAAAATAGTTCATGGCAGTTTATTTTTAGAATACAGGAAGAAGATTTCATACTCTTAAAACTAACATTTTTTTTTTATGTAGTAAGAGGCAACATGTCCTGGGAAAGAAGTTTTATACTAGTAATACTGTGTTCTATGTCTGACAAAAATGATACCTTTTATTGGGTTAACCTGAACTTTGTATGACTTTATTTGTCTACCAATAGACAAACAATCAGCAATTTGTCAAGTATTCTTACAAAACTAGTTGTGGACTATGTGAAATGCATACAAATGAAAAAGTAATTCTTCTATTTGCTTCTTATTATGTTAATGAAGAATCATTACACTCTCATAGTTTTAAGAGAAAATAAATGTTTTGGAAACATTTTTCTTTTATTTTTCTATGCTTTTCTTCATTCCTATGTGACAATGAAAAGTAGCTACATAAAATTCAGAGTTTCTTACCTAATGCTTCACTGTAAAACTGATCCCAAAACTGAAAGTCATACTGCTGGATCCAGAAGTCAAACAAAAATGAAATCAACACATTTTTTACCCTTTCCATAAATGTCATTCTGCTAGTGAGTCCTGCCATGGGAACAGGCACATAGGAAGGTGGAGCTGGAAGCTGTCCACAGTATTTCTCTATGGGATAGCCTGTGAAGAACCTGAGCATGTAGACAAAAGGGATATCCAGCATCTCAGCCACCAGCTCCCCGCAGAGTATCAGAGGGTCTGTAATCATCACATCATACTTTGACTCCTGGAGCTTCTTCATGAGCAACTGGTTGTAGGCTATATTGGAACAGAGAACTCTCACATCTTCAGTTGATTTAAGAAAGAGTTTCTGCAGTAGTCTTCCTGATTGCCAGGATGACATTGTTGGCATGACATTCCCAGCTAGGTCTAAAAACTCATTGAGCACTGCCTCAGTGGCATTTTTATCGGCTGGCATAGAGATCACTTCAAAATGAAATGCTGAAGGCTTGCTGTAGTCAATGAACAAACTGTTTGAAGGAGTCAGAACTGTCACCTCATGTCCTCTTTTCACGAGTTCCTCCAGAATAGTCCTCAGGTTGAGCCAGTGGCTCATTTCACAGGGCCACACCAGCACCTTCCCACACAATCCCCACCCAGCACAGCAGAGCTGCAGCAGCAGGATCATAGAAGCGCACTTCGCAGGAACCATGCTGGCATCCCCAACACACTACTCTCAATAAGCCCAGTGTGTGCTAGTGTGAAAGGGCAATTTAGATGCCATGAACAATTAAATATTAACTTACTGTGATAGGAAAGTATGTATGTGAAAGAACTTTGAATTATTGATTCTACACTTGATTTTAGCCAAAGGGCTAGGAAGGGATGTCAAAAATATTGATTGGAAACTTTTCTATATCTCTTGTTCAGGAGGTAAAAACCACAAAAATATAAGTAAAAAATGAAAATCGGATACTCATAGTACTATTTTAAATGTTATGATAGGAAAAAGAAGATATTTAAATTAAAATTTATATGTAAATGTAAAACTATTTTAAGTAAATATAGTAAAAATTGGTGAATCCTTTTGGAAAAACAGTAAGGTTTGCTTTCTAATTGGTTCTATTTGCCTCTAGGTGACAGGCACACTAAACAGTGAAAGAAAAGAAATAACAAAATTGTTAAAATGTTATGGAAGAGGGGACAGTAGACTGGAGGGACAAAAAATAAGCTCTTATTATTTTTTTTTTATATTCAAGCAATAATTTGTATAATTTTATTCACATAATTGAGCATTTTATTCTGTCTTTTCAGTTTTAAGTTCTTTTCCCACAATGCGCCCATACTTTTACTATGTCAGGAAAACCATACAAATGAATGGGTCATTTTGTTTTCTTTGAACTACTTTAGATTTCATAAATAAGGAGTGATAAACATGAGACATACTGCAGGTGATTATGCCTTACACAAATGCAAACACACGCAGTGTCCTGCCAAAAACTAGTGTAAAACTCTCATAGAAGTTTGAAAGAACACAGCCCTCTTATTAAATTTTATTTTAAAAATTAATGGCAAATCATATTAAGGGCAATTTTAGTCTTTATATTTATATTCCAAGAATTTGAAGAAGGGAGAGAGAGAGAGAGAGAGAGAGAGAGAGAGAGAGAGAGAGAGAGAGAGACAGAGAGATAGAGACAGACACAGAGACAGAGACAGAGACAGAGAGACAGACAGA